ATTCAGGTGCGCCGTTGCTCTATGTCTTCGAAGAGGCTCCCGGGCGATGCGTGTCATGCCCGCCCCTGGGCTATTCGCCCTTCTCGTCGCCGCCGACTTTTTTGCGATGTGGCACTTTTTCTGCAGCGTGGGATCTCAGGGGACCGGGGGCCGATTCTGGGCTGGCTTGGGCCAGGCCAGGGAGCCGTCGTGGTTCGTGCGGGCAGCGATGGGCGATCGGCGGGGACGGGCTCAGGGGGGAACGCGTCAAGTCCTAATCTTGAGTCGGGCCTGTCCCTCTACAGGGGGGAAACCATTAATCGGGGATTATTTTTTGATTATTTTTTTAACGATTTTTTTTTTTTTTGAACAATTTTATTTTTTCGTCGAAAATCTCCCTGCAGGGGGGGGACACGCCCGACTTAATCCTCATCGCCCATGCGTCGCCGACAGGGGCCCGATGGCCCACCGTGCCCAGGAGCGTGCGGATTCGCCAGCGGGGCCCCTCGCCGATCCGTCGGCGATGCACCACCGATTGCAGGTCGGTGTTTCCGCCCCTGCAGGGCTCATTTCGACTCCTTCGATTCGATTCGATTCGATTTCGATGGCTTCCGATTCCGATTCGATTCGACTTGGGATTCCGATTTGGATTCCGACTTCCCACTGAGGCATTGCTACTCTGCCGATTTCTGCCGATTCGACTCCTCCCGACTTGGCTGCCGATTTCCGCCGATCCGTGTAATTTCGATCGCCGATTCGACTTATCGATTCGATTCTGGGCTCTCCTGCCCCTGAGCCCGGCCCCCCCAAAGGTTCCCCATCGCATGCGACGTCGGATTCCTCTGGCGGCACGGCCTCCCAGAGGTGCAGCAACTCCTGGGAGGTCAAAGTCTGATTTTGCCCTGGTCCGAAATCCAGCTTCATCCGGCTTGATCCCGCTTGACCCCGCTGAATCTGGCTTACTCCCGCTCACTCCGAGGCCCACTCCGGCGCAACAGCTCCCAGCAGTTGCCTCCTTCCCCTGGGGCCCGTTTGCTTTTCATCCCGAGCCGTTTTCTTGACGGCCCCCCGGCCCAGCGAGGGCTCCCGGAGGCTGGCAGTGGCCAAACGCCATGGGCCTGGCCAGAATCGGTGTGCAGTCGGGGCGCTGAAGAAGGAACCCTTTTAGTTGGGGAGGGGCTCCGTGTTCCTTGATTTTGTCATAGTTTGTTTTAGGTGTTCCTTAGGTTTTCGATGGGAAATCGAAGTTCGACGTGTGGAAAACAGGGGCCTCGTCCCTCATGTAGGGTTCCTTAGGTCAACGCCCCGACTTGTAGGTGCACGGTTCTCGTTCCCCTCGAGGGGAGGTCCTGCGGAAGGCCGCCCGCCGCTGGACGGCCGCTGCTCTTGCGTGCGCCCGTGGCCCGCCACTCGGCCGGCGCCTCGCCCACATAAAGTCCCACCAAGGAATGTTCTGAGAACCTTTGTGGTTACCACGACATGTTCTTAGAACATTTCTGGCCGATATTGTTTTGTTTTAGCACATCGGGTCTGTGTTCTAGGAGGTCTCTTGGTTCTTAGAACATTTCTGGGGTCTAAGGACATTTCGTGGTAGGCCTATAGGAATGCCGGGACGGTCGGTCCCTGCTCAAGAGGGGGCGGGAGCCGCATGTGTGTTCGAGGGCTGCCCCGTCTTCGGGACGCCCCGAGGACCGAGGAAGAAACCCGGACATCCGGCTGCCCCAAATTTTGTTGATGCGTGGGCTCTGGAGGTCTGGACACTTCTCGAGGGCCGGTTCTTCGCCCTGAGCTGCTCCCTGACGGTCCCGAGGCCCCGAGGCCCGGTCAGGGCCCCTGGGCGCCGAGAACTGGCAGAGACCCGCCGCTCCAAGTCTTTGTCGGAGCGTCGGACCTCTGGGAAAGCAGCGTGCCCATCGGTCGCTGACTGGGGGGGGGGGTCCCGCCATCAAGGTCGATCGGGCGAGAGACCGCAGGTCGAGTTTGTCAGTCGCCGGTGCGACTGCGTCGCCGCAGGCGCGCGGGGGTGCAGAGAGCGGCGGCAGAGTACCCACGGCCGGTGGCAGCACCAGGAGGAGGAGGAGGAGGGCAGCTAGTAGGAAGAGCAGAGCTTAGGGAGGTGAGGAGGGATGACGGTGGTGGTGGTGGTGGTGGTGGTGGTGATGTGGTGATTCGGATGAGGATGAGGATGAGGATGAGGATGATGATGAGGAGGAGGATGAGAGTGATGATGAGGATGAGGATGAGGATGGGGATGAAGATGAGGATGATGAGGAGGATGAGGATGAGGATGAGGATGAGGATGAGGATGAGGATGATGAGGATGATGATGATGCTGATTCTGATGATGATGATGGTGGTGATGGTGATTGCGATGGTGATTGTGATGGTGATGGTGATGGTGATGGTGGTGGTGATGGTGATGACGACGATGACGATGACGTCGACGGTGACGATGGCGACGAGGATGGTGATGGTGATGGTGATGGTGATGGTGATGGTGATGGTGATGGTGATGGTGATGGTGATGGTGATGGTGATGGTTGTGGAGGTGATGATGATGATGATGATGATGATGATGATGATGATGATGATGATGATGATGATGATGATGATGATGATGATGACCATGATGATGCTGATGATGTTTATGATGAAGATGATGGGGATGAGGAGGACCGCCGCAGATCTTCCTTCCCTGGGCCGGCCCCACAGGTGGGGGGTCCACGCGGGGCTGCCCCAAGGCACAAACACCGCTGGAGCGGGGATGGATCGAGAAGGCGGGGTACGGTAGGTTTAAGTCGGGCCTGTCCCTCTACAGGAGGAATATTCAGAAATAGTCGAAAGATAGCCTGGGGACGATTTTTTTGTTGGGATTTTTTCTGACTATTTGTAATCTTTCTTCTAAAATCGGCCTGCAGGGGGACGTGCCCGACATCACGGTAGGTTCGTGGTGTGACGCCGTGGCGGCAGCCTGGGCGCGGGCGTTCGCGCTCGAGCGCGCGCTGCGGGTGGCCTGGCAGAGGCCGCCATCGAACGATCCGCGCTTGTCGGAACGCCGCGATCGTCCAAGTTTGGAAGATTAGGGGGGCCACGTGCGAACCCTACCCCTACCCCCCAAGATTTCTGAGGGGGAGGGTGGGGTAGGGTTCGCATGTGGCCCCCCTAAAGATCCGCGCGGTGTCAAAAATCACCGCCGAGGTCGTCACTGCAGTCGGCCTTGGTTGGACAGGACGCGCGAGAGGACACAAGACCCTTCCGAGGGCCACGTCGCCATAATTAGGAGTGCGAGAAGGAGCGCGTCGCGAGGCACAGGACACGAGGGTACCCATTGAGCTGGCAGGGTCGGCCTACTACTCCGGGCCGACTGCACGCGAACCTGGCCGAAAGGAGGAGAGGAGGGACGAGGGAAGGGAGCGGGAGGTTGAACCGGCTGGCCCGGGGTGAGACTGAGCTGGCACTGCTCGGGAGCCCTGCGACGGGGGTCAATGCAGACGGGGGTCAGCCAGAGCGCCCGATGACCTGCCAGCTCTCAGAGATTCTTGGGCTGGCGCCACACCGCCGACCCCCCTTGGGGAACTGGCGGTCGGTGGGTGTTGCTGCTGAGGGCCTCTTGTGCGCCTTTCGGAGGCTTCTTGGAGCTCTTTGGGGACTCCATGGGGGCCTCTTGGAGGCCTTTTCGGGGCCTCTTGGGCTGACATTCTCAGTATTCGCCGTGCACGCATGAGCAAGCGGGCGAGAGCCCACGTATACAGACGGCGGGCATCTGTCAAAACACCCGAATAATGATTATCGAAGTCGCCTACAGCGAATCACCGACGCCCCCTGCCTTTTGGAAGCGCCTATGTGGCCGAACGTTGAGGCCAGACCTACCAAGCTATCGGATCATGTGTTCCCCGAATTGGTTTGGAAAGCCTTCGGGGAACACGTGGGCATCTTGAAGGTCATCTTGGCCGTCTGGAGGCCATTTTGACCCTTTCGGACCTTATTGGAGGATGTCTTGGATTGCTCTTGGGCTGTCTTGGAGGTCATCTTGAGCGTCTTGGAGGCCTCTTGGGCCGTCTTGGGGGCCTCTTGGGGCCGTCTTGGGCCTCTTGGGCGATCTTTGGGGGCACTCGGGCCGTCGGAAGGCAGAACAAAAAGCAAATGCCACAATCCTTCAACAACTCATTGGACATCAATGATTTTGGCCTTTTTGGGCCTTCTTGGAGGCCCTCTTGGAGGCCTCTTGGGCCGTCTTGGGCCATCTTAGGGCTATCTTCAGCCGTCTTGGTGGGGTCCTGGCCCGTCTGACGCAGTCGGAAGCCGTTTGGGGGGCCTCTCTGGGCCGACTTGGGGCCGTCTTGGCATGCTCCAGGGCCGTCTTGGAGGCCATCTTAGGCGTCTTAAAGGCCTCCTGGGCCGTCTTGGGGGCCTCTGGGGGCCGTCTTGGGGGCCCCTTGGGCCGTTCTGGGGCCATCTTGGAGGCCTCTTGGGCGATCTTTGGGCGATCTTTGGGGGCTCTTGCGCCGTCTCGGGCCGTCGGAAGGCCGAAAAGAAGCAAATGCCAAAATCTTTCAAAAACCTAAGGAATGGTGAGCTCTGTGCAGCATTGATATCACGCCTGTCTCCGTTCCCTCTCTTGTAGCTTTTCGGCGCAGAGGATTCAGATGCAAGCTGCCGCGCCCGTCCTCGCGCAAGTCGCGGGATACGCTGTCGGCTGGTGGAGCAGCGGCGGGCATCGCTGCATCTGTTCGTGTGAGGTTTCGGGCAGCGTGGACCGCGATATCATCGGGGTCCTGCAGCGCCAGCTGGATCGGTGCGGGCCAGACCAGCTGACCTCGCCGCCGCCGACCACCTGTCACTGCGACGCAGGCGCGACCTGGCTCGGCACTGCAGCGGGCTTCGCTGTGGGCGTGGTGGTTGGCGTTCTCCTGTGCCTGGTCGTGTACTTCCGCGCTGCTGCTTGTCGCCCAGATGACAGCACATCCTCCAGCGCCGAGCTGGCTGCGATCACTGATTCCGGGGGCCCGCCTGTACGTGAGGTACCCGGACGAGGACCTCTGGCACGAGAGGCTTCTTTGCGGGCGCGTACGGGCGGACGGGTGGTCATGGGTGGTCCTGACACCGACTGAAGACCAGCATGAGGAGGACTTTGTGGACGCCGCCGAGATCTTGGCCTGTGGGCCAAAGGGCGGCACGCCAGTGAAGTTATACGGCAAGCACTTGTTCAAGATGGAGCACCGCTCCAACAACCACTACGCGGACTACATGGCGGCGGGGCTGAAGCTGGCTGATGAGTTGGTCAGCGCAGGAGGCGGTGGTCCTGCCCCTCCTCCTGGGGCGGGGCCCTGGGCCCCCTTGGCCGACGTTGACATGGAGCGCGACCCCGCGACCAAGTGGATCACGCTCGAGTCCAGGTTCGGCTACGCCGCGGGCGACCCGATCGACGTGGTAGGCCAGCCCTTCTTTTGCTCGGGCGATCGTGGCGTGCTGGAGCTGGCGGACGGGCCCATTGCTGTGGGCATCTCCGACACCGCGGTCGCAGGGCTGACGCCACGTGCGGGGCCGCTGGACATCCGCCTGCTGGGGACAAGTTCGGACACGACCTTCATGCGACAGAGTTTTGCCCAGCGCGCCCAGCTCCTCGAGACTGGTGACAACCAGAGGTGGACGGCGCAGGGGCCCCCGACCATGCGTTGGGTCTGCCTCGCGCACGTTGAGGGCAACACCACGCCCAAGCAGCGACACTTCTGGTGGCGTCAGGTCCTGGGGCTGGTGTCAACAGACCCCGGGGTCGAGGAGCATAGTTTCTTGTGCGAGCTAATCGAGACCGCTGTGGCGAGGGGCGGCATCAACGTGGCGGCCCTGGAATCGTTCGAGCCGGTGTCGAGGCGCTTCCAGCTCTGGGAGGAGTTCTACGTGGAGGCGCTTCGGATCGCGGAGGCCGGCGACCACGGGGATGACCTGGGCGAGAGGAGGCTCTTCCTGGGGAACCGCCGGAGCAAGGGGCTCGCGATGGTGTCGCCGGAGTTGGAGGAGCACGTTGCCACGAAGCTGCAGGAGGAGAGTGCGGTGCTCAAGGAGCGCCGCAAGGGTCGCGAGGAGCGGAGGCTTGCTCGCGCGGACCCGACGCGCCCATCTACTTCTTCGGGCTCTGGCGCCGCGGCATCTGGTGCCCAGCAGCCCCCGCAGCAGACCCAGCCTCCAGGACGTGGGAGGGGGCAGGGTCGTGGGCGGAGCTGACGCTTCGCCTCTTTCTTCATCCGGCTGCCCACCGTCGCCCCCGGGCGGTTGGGCTTTTCCCACAGGGGAGGCGCACTTGTGGCGGTGGTGCGCTTGGCGAGTATCGAGATCATGGAGGTGCAGCGCGACGTGCTGCCGCTGCCGCTGGGGGTTGCCCTCAGTCAGGAACTGCGTGGAGGGGTTGCTGGACTTGTGCAGCCTCGCCCACGTCGGCTCCGACAGCTGCGTGCACAGGAGAGGTGGCTACGTGAGGGCATTGAGGCCTTGAATGAGCTCGGAGGTCGTGGAGAGACAGCGGATCCTCATCGTCGTCTCTCACTGCCGCAACAGCTTGCGTTTCGGCACCTTGCTCGTTCTTATTGGCCGCGTGGGTCCTCCGCCTCCCGATTTTGATGCCCGCGGAGCGTTCAGGGCGCTTCAGGGTTCGAGGTGCGGTTATGCGGACTCGCTGACCGATGGCAAGGTTGCTGCTTACAGACGTGGTGAAGTTTCACTACCGCAGGGCAAGGCTGGAGGCGTGTCTCTTTTGAACTGCCTTGGGCCTGAGCTGCAGTCAGTTTTGGTAAGTGGTCAGGGTCTCCTTCGCTCTGATCGTGATCGCGACAACGTTCTTTTAGATGCCCCCAGGGCGCCGGCTATGGACGTCAACTTGGGCAAGGGGGGCGCCGACTACGGGCATTTCCTGGGGGGGCTGTATAACCTTGGGGCTATCGAGGTGTGCGAGTCGCCGCAGGAGGTCTGCGGGCTCTTCTTCGTTCCCCGCAAGGATGGGCGACTACGTCTTATATGGGGCACGAGGCGCTCCAACGCACGCTTTGAGGTGCCGCCCTTCACCGCATTGCCGTCTGGGGAGGCTCTGGCTGCTCTTGAGATTGACGAGTCGATCGCTGGGCAGAGGATAGTGGCACCTAGCGCGGATGTGGAGGTTTGCTTCTATCAGTGCGAGCTGCCGTCCAACCTCCGCCCGTTCTTCGCTCTTCAGTCTGTTGACCTTCGGTTTCTGCCTCGGCGTGTGCGTTGCCAGGTCAGCCAGCAGGCCACCAACGGCCACATTCAATTTCAATCTCGCGTTGTGCCCACGGGATGGGCCTGGGCCGTGCACCTCGTGCAGCAGGCGCACATGTCGTTGCTGAAGGATGTGAGGCCGCTCGACTCCTGGGTGCTGGACAAGGTGCCGACGGGGCCGATCAGCGCCTCGCACTTGGCTAAGATACTCTACATCGACAAATTTGCGTCCATCGGCCCCACGCGAGCTCGGCCAGACGCGGCCACTGCTGATATGATCACGTTGTTGGCGGATGCCGGGGTCAAAGCTGACATGAGCCCGAGCTCGGGGACGTTTGGGGTGCACGACCTTCTTGGCTTCTCGTTGGTCGAACACCGGGCCGCTTGGACCCTCAGCGCTCGCAAGTTTTGGAAGATCAAAGGGGCTCTGGACTACGTGATTTCGTCCAGTCAGGGCTTCGCCGTCGCGGAGATGGAGCGGCTGCTGGGACACTTGGCCAGCTGCTTCATGCTCCGACGCGAATTGCTCTCGCTCCTGCACGCGTCGTACACCTTCGCCCAGGAGACCATGCTGCGACGGGTTCCTCTCTGGCCTTCGGTCCGCAAGGAGCTCCGGTGGTGCCGCGCGTTGCTGCCGCTGGTGACCGCGGACGTGTCGCGGCCTTGGTCTCATTTGATCACCTCTTATGATGCAAGTCCCTGGGTATATGGTTTTTGCGAAACGTCAGTCTCGGCATCGCAGTCGGGGCAGATCGGGCGGCTGAACGACAGATCAAGGTGGAAGGGGTTGTTGGCTACCAATCGACGGCCTCGGGACGACCTCATGGATCTCGGCGATGTCGATGATGATTTCAAGATCCCACGAGATCGGGACACGATCCTCTCGGCTGGTGCGGTCTCGGGCTTTACCGAGGTCGATCCTGAATTTCTGAGAGACGCCGCCTGGGTCACGGTCGCAGCCAGGCCCGCTTCTGCTAGCCTGCCTATTCATTTGCTGGAGGGATTTGCTTTGCTCCATGGAGTGCGGCGTGCCTCTCGAAACAGTCGGTGTCATTCTCGTCGGCTCGTCTTCTTGGGGGACAATATGAGTCTTATCTGTGCGCTATGTAAAGGGCGGGCCACAGATTTCAGGCTTAACTCTATCTGTCGGGAGGTCTTGGCTATCAGTCTGGCTTCGGATTTCAAGCTGGCCCACAGGTGGATCCCCTCGGAAAGAAATGCTGCTGATAAGCCGTCTCGTCGGTACATGCCGAAGTGGAGCAAGGGCCTTTTGCCAGCTTCTGGGCTCAAGGATGCTGAGGGTAACGCCTCCTCGCCGTCGTTCAGCCACGCAGGCGGGGCTTCCGGCTTCGCGTCAGATACCGCCGCCTTCTCGCCCGAGGCCTTCGTTCGGGGCGCTGGTGGCCGCTGGGGATCCTGCGGGGTCAAACGCTGCCACCCAGCCGCAGAGCGATGTGCCGCTCGCCTGGCCGCGCGCGTCCGCCTCGGCGCGCCGCCGGGGCTCGGGCCTCCGAAAGCAACGGCATCACGTGGAATTGCAGCGACTGCTACATCGTTGGGCGCCTCGTCTTACTGGCTTGCAGGCCAACCGCATTCGCCAGGCCGCGCAGCTGGCCTACCTGGGCATCCTCGAGCAGCTGGCCTTCTTCATGCAGTGCCAAGAGCTCCCGCGCTTCTCGGCCAAGGTGTGGGACGTCACCCTGGTCGACTTCATCGAGGGCCGACGCGACGATGGGCACTCAAGCGAGGCGACCGTCAAGGTCCTCTACGCGCTGCCGTGGGCATTGCCGCATTTGGGAGGGCCTGCTCGGACGCTCTTCCCCCGAGCCTTTTCATCAATGCGGGGGTGGACGCGGCTCAGCCCTCCTGCATCGCGGCCGCCGCTGCCCAGGCAAGCCGCCTACGCCATCGCCGCGAAGCTGCTGGACTATGGGCAAGAGAGGGCTGCACTGGGGTGGGGTGCTTGGTCATGTTCGAGACCTACTGCCGCGTCGGGGAGTTGCTCGCGTTGCGAATGTTCCAGATCGTGCCGCCCGACCGCCACTCGGCGGGGGCGGCAGGCTGCCCCGCCATTGTTCTCAATGCCTCGGAGCTCCAGGTCCCCTCCAAGACAGGGGAGATGGACAGCAGCATCGCCTTCGATCTTCCAGAACACCGCTGGGTGGGGATGCTGCTGGTGCTGCTCAAGGAGGCCTTCGCTTCGCAGCCCATGGAGCACGTGGTCAATGTCTCGTGCACTGTCTTCCTGTCGCTGCTCGATCGATCGGCTCAGGATCTGGGCATTCAGGTCCTGCAGCCTACGCCGCGCTGCTTCAGGCACGGTGGGGCCAGCCACGATCGAGCAGCTGGGCGACGCCCATTGCAGGAGGTCCAGCGCCGAGGTATGTGGAAAGCGCACAGCAGTGTGGCCAGGTACGACAAGCACGGCAGAGTCGGACTACAGCTGCAACTGCTGCCTCAACAAGTGCGAGACCGTCTCGAGCATCTCATGCATCGCGTGGAGCCCAACTTCAGGCTGCGCTTCACCAGGCTCTTCGGCCAGGCAACCGGCTCAGGCTCTTCCTCGAGCTCTTCGCGGGCTCTGGCGAGCTCACTGCGTCCATGAGGCGCAAAGGCGTGGCGGTGTTGGCATTCGACGTGAACCAAGGCCCACACATGGAGCTTCTGAACGACGACGTCTACTCCCGCCTGCGGGGTTGGATCTTGTCTGGAGTAGTGCTTGCAATATGGTCTGGGACCCCTTGCGGGGGCCTCGCACGCGCTCGGCGTGGGCCTCCGGGCTCTCGGCTACCACATGCCCTGAGGAGCCCAGAGTTCCCTCGAGGTCTTCCGAACCTCGAGGGCCGCGACTTGGAGACCCTGCAGCAATCCAATGTGCTCGCTGCAAGAGCTCTCGGTCTGCTCCAACCTGCTGCCGCACGTAATATTCCAGGGGGCGAGGAGAATCCAAGCACCAGCTATCTGTGGGACTTGCCGTCCAGCCAGAGATTATCGGACAAATTCTGCACCACTGACTACATAGTAGACTACTGCGCCTGTGGGCGCCCTTTCAGAGCAAGAACGCGACTCATAATTTTTAACATGCACGCTTCACGTAAGTTGCCTCGGCTGCGCTGTCATGGCCGTGGCGTGTGCGACTTTTCAGGCAAGCCACATCACAACCTGTCAGGAACCAAAGTAAGAGGCGGTTTCTTCACAGCCGCCAAGGCGGCATACCCTCGCCAATTGGCGGACATCTTGGCCAATGACCTTTTCATGGCCTATGCTCTTCGACGAACTTCGAGAAAATGGAATCTTCTACGGTGACCCAGTTACAGTGCTGGATGTGGGTATGTTGTTCTGAATATGGGTTGATTTGGGCGTGGCTCGTCACGCTCTCCATCGACTCAGCTGAGCTCTTGTCATGCAGCAAATAATTGGAAAATAAGTTATTTCATGGTGAGCTCTGTGCGACATCGATATCACGCCTGTCTCCGTTCCCTCTCTTGTAGCTTTTCGGCACCCGCCCGTCCCAGCCCTTCCTGCCTCACTCTACAGGAGCATCGATTTAAGAACTGTCGTGTGCACGTGCAGACCCGTGATCCCTGCAGGGTTGATTTGAGCGTGGATCGTCACGCTCTCCATCGACTCAGCTGAGCTCTTGTCATGCAGCAAATGATTGGACAAGAAGTTATATCATAAGTGTTTTTGGCCTTTTCTGGCCTTCCTGGAGGCCCTCCTGGAGGCCTCTTGGGCCGTCTTGGGCCAGCTTCGAGCCAACTTCGGCCAACTTGGTGGGTTCCTGGCACGTCTAACGCCGTCGGGAGCCGTCTTGGGGGCCTCTCTGGGTCGACTTGGGGCCCTCTTGGGGCGCTTCGGGGCCGTCTTAGAGGCTATCTTGGGCGTCTTGGAGGCCTCTTGGGCGGTCTTGGGGCCCTCTTGGGGCCGTCTGGGGGGCCTCTTGGGCCGTCATGGGGCCATCTTGGAGGCCTCTTGGCGACCTTGGGGCGATCTCGGAGGCCTCCTGGGCCGTCTTGAGCCGTCGGAAAGCCGAAAAGGGGCAAATACCAAAATCTTTCAAAACCTGAGGACAATCTGTGATTTTTCCCTCTTCGGGCCTTCCTGGAGCAGCTCTTGGAGGCCTGTTGGGCCGTATTGCGGCCTCTTGGGCCGTCTTGGGCCATCGTCAGGCTACTTCACGCCATCTTGGGTACTTCTTGGGCCGTCTTGGAGGCATCTTGAGGCCATCTTGGCCGTCTTGAAAGCATCGTGTAAACCATCTTGGGCAATCTTGGAGCCGTCTGGGGCAGGAAAACCTTTTGCAACCGGCTCTGGAATATCCTTCCAGGACACCGGCGGGACGCGCCGGAGGCCCAGGGGGAGTTCTTTTGGAAAAGAACCAAAACCAAAACCGAGAGGATCTAGCACGCCAGGCACCCCTGTGATGAATCAACAGGGGGCGGCGGATCGAATGGCCTTCGGCGCATCCCGCCACCGTGCCTGGGTTGCGGGTCTGAGGCCACTCGGATGGTTGATGGGGTGTCGTGGGAGGCGTGGCGTCTCGGGGGCGTCTTGGAGGCAGTTTTTGAATCTCTTGGGGGCATCCTTGGGACCTCTTGGGTTTTTTGTTGCCGCCATCTTGGGGCTCCCTGGGGGCCTGTTGGGGACTTTTCGGGGCAACCCGGAGGCGTCTTGGGGTGGAAAACTCGAAATGTCCGTTCGGGTTCCCCCTATGGGCCCCCTCTTGGGGCTGTTCTGGGGCCCTCCTGGGCCGTCTTGGGGGCTTCTTGGGCCGTCCTGGGGCCCTCTTGGGTCGTCTTGGAGCCCTCTCGGGGGCCTCTTGGCCCGTCTTGGGGCGATCTTGAAGGCCTTCTGGGCCGTCTGGGGCGTTGTGAACGCCCAAGACGCGAGTGAGCAAAAAATGCACGTTTTCCAAGAGGGATGGGACCATTCTTGCTTCAGGAGGCCCTCTTGGGACGCCTCTTGGGGGCTTCTTGGGGCGTCTTGGGGAGGGGGAAACGTGAAACGTCTCACACGCCGATGAAAACCCAAGGGGTCGGCGGATTGCCGATCTCGTCAGCATCATCTAACCGATTGCCATAACCACTGGGCCATGGTCGTCGCCGTCGTCATCATCGCCCTCCGCATTCCTCGTAGTCGCCCTCGTTCTCTTCGTCCTCGTCCTTGTGCTTCTCTTCCTCTATGCTCCTCCTCGCGATCCTCACGTTGGCCACGTCGTCCTCGTCATCGACTCCTCGTTGTCCTCGCCTTCCGTTTCTTCTCCGCCCAACACGCCCACTAGACTACAGCGGCGCTTCCCGTTCCTGTCCGATCAGGTTCCCGACTTCGTCAGCATCATCTGACCGATTCCCATACCCCACTGGGCCGTGGTAGCTCATCCCCACCCGCCCAGCCCCAGATTGGGGATAGGTCCCGCGACGCCTGAATCCCCGCCTAGAGGCGGCAGTCGGCCACTGGGTCAAGGCCGTGCCAGTGGGGATGGGGATCGTCGGGGGTGGACAGAACCCCCAACAGTGACACGTCGATTAGTGAATTGTCCGTTTTCGGTTCTCGAGAGGGCGCCGTGGCCGCTATTTTCCAGGCTTGCGCCCGCCAGGCCTCAGGTCGTTTTCACTAAACCACGTTTTACTAAAGGGGGGTCTGTCCATCCCCGGGATCGAAGCAGCGATGCTCACTTTGTCCTATTCCTGCCTTCGTCGTAAGCTGGAGGGGTACCGTGCTGCCTTATGCCTCGTGCCTCGGCCTCCCCGTGCAGCCTCCCTGCCTGCCAGGCCAAGGAGGAGGAAGAGGAGAAGAAGCTGCGAATCGCCATCGTCAGCTCGGACCGCTGTAAGCCCAAGAAGTGCAGGCACTGCTTTTGTCGGCCACGCGCAGAGGGGGTAGGGGAGGGGGGGAAGGCTTCTGAAAAGCACTCCTGCTTCTCAAACGTAGCTGGCCTTATTGGTAGATGTAAGGCCAGCACCTACCACCTTCTAAGAAGCAGCCTCCTTCTAAGCAGTCTTCCCACCTCCCCATACCCCCGTGTGCGCACCGCCAATTTTGGCCAAGGCCAGGCAAACGGTGCGGTCGGTTAACGGCGTGGCCTGGATTCTGGCTTTGCGACAGTCCGTTTCCGATTCTGGTGCTGGCTGCACACGGAGAGATCCCCCGTGCAACAGCGCAAGCAGATGCACAGGCCACCCTCGCCTACACTGTCTGTCGTACCGCACCACGCCGTGGCGGGCCGCACCGTTTGCCCGCCTTCGGTTTTGGCCGCCGGGCGACGACGACGACGACGACGACGACGACGACGACGACGACGACGACGACGACGACGACGACGACGACGACGACGACGACGACGACGACGACGACGACGACGACGACGACGACGACGACGACGACGACGACGACACACCCCCCTCCTCCCCCTCTCCTCTCCCTCTCCTCCCCTCGCCGTCTCTCTCACTCTCCTCCCCTCGCCCTCTCCCCTCCCTCTCCTCTCCCTCTCCCTCTCCTCTCCCTCTCCTCCCCTCGCCCTCCTCCCTGCCCTTCGCCGTCTCTCTCCTCTCCCTCTCCTCCGGCGACGGCGAGCTCGGGGGCAGCCCGGCCGCTCAGTTTTGCCAGCAGAAGCTCGGCCCGCAGCAGCTCGGCTCTCCTGCATACTCCCACGGGGCGTACAGGTAGGATGCTCGGGAGAATCAGGATGAGGAAAAAGAGGAGGAGGAGGAGGAGGAGGAGGAGGAGGAGGAGGAGGAGGAGGAGGAGGAGGAGGAGGAGGAGGAGGAGGAGGAGGAGGAGGAGGAGGAAGGAGGAGGAGAGGAGAGGAGGAGGAAGGAGGAGGAGGAGGAGGAGGAGGAGGGGAGAAGGAGGAGAGAGGAGGAAGGAGGAGGAGGAGGGAGGAGGAGGGAAGGAGGAGGAGGAGGAGGAGGAGGCGGAGGAGGAGGAGGAGGGGAGGAGAGGAGGAGGAGGAGGAGGAGGAGCGCGGGCTGCGGCGGACAGACCGCCTTGCCTGCAGTGTTCGAGGAGGAGGAGGAGGAGGAGGAGGCGGAATAATGTCAAATTGAATAAGTTTTTGGTGCCCTCCAGCCAAGGGACTGGAACAAACAGCAGTTGCGGAAGGCGCTTGTCCTAAGATTGTCCTTGGGTCCCTTTTGGGACACCAGCTTGCTGCAAGCGCACTCGCATGCTTCCATGCAGGGGAGGAAAAGGATGCTGCTGCTGCTGCTGACGATGATGATGATGATGATGATGCTGATGATGATGATGATGACGATGACGATGACGATGATGATGATGATGATGATGATGATGATGATGATGATGATGATGATGATGATGATGATGATGATGATGATGATGATGATGATGATGATGATGATGATGATGATGATGATGATGATGATGATGATGATGATGATGATGATGATGCTGATGATGATGCTCATGATGAGATGATGATGATGATGATGATGATGATGGATGATGATGATAGATGGATGATGATGATGATGATGATGATGATGAGGATGAGATGAGGATGAGGATGATGATCTGATGATGATGATGATGATGATGATGATGATGATGATGACGATGATGATGATGATGATGATGATGATGATGATGATGATGATGATGATGATGATGATGATGATGATGCTGATGCTGATGCTGATGCTGATGCTGATGCTCATGCTCATGCTCATGCTGATGCTGATGTTGATGATGATGATAATGAGGATGAGGATGATGAGGAGGAGCAGGAGGACGAGGATGAAGAGGAAGGAGAGCACCTGAGACTCTAACGACTTCGCCGAAGCTGCGTGGGAGCCACGACGCAACGTGTGGAACACGCGGTTTCTCCGGGGGCCGCGTGAAGGCACGGCTGAGGGATATCCCGGTACGCGGGTGACACTTGGCCTCCTCCTCCTCCTCCTCCTCCTCCTCCCCTCCCCCCCCCCCCCCCCCTCCCCCTCCCTCCTCCTCCTCCTCCTCCTCCTCCTCCTCCTCCTCCTCCTCCTCCTCCTCCTCAGCCCGCATGCGCGCCCCGCCCCGCGGGGCGTTCCGCTCCGCGGGGCGGCGCGTTCGCTTCGGCGGGGCCCGGCCCCGTGCACCGCGTCTTGGCGTCGACGGGCGCCCTGCTTCGGGCGGGCCTCGCCTCTCCTGGTGGTGATGGGCCTGATTTCCACCACCACCACCACCATAAGGTGGAGGGGGGAAGGGGGTGAAGGACGAGGAGGAGGAGGAGGAGGACGAGGAGGAGGAGGAGCAGGAGGATGACCCCCTCCCCCTCCTGCTTATGGTGGTGGTGGTGGAAAACAGGCCCGCCAGGTGGTGCTCGCGCGGCGCCCGGCCGCGGCCGCGGCCTCCTGCCGCGCCTGCCTCCCTCTTGCTCGACCTCTGGGCCGAAGGCTGAAGCCCAGCAGTCTCCCAGGTCACAGCCCAGTCCTCCTCCCTCCTCCTCCTCCTCCCTCCTCCTCCTCCTCCTCCTCCTCCTCCTCCTCCTCCTCCTCCTCCTCCTCCTCCTCCTCCTCGGGGGCGGAAAAGAGGGGGTGATGACTAGGGGGGGGTGGATATCATGGCGGGGGCCATGATATTTCCCCAGATTTCATGGCGCCTCTTCTTGTTTCATTACGTCCCTGGCCCCCCCGCTGGGCCGCGCACATGCCGCCGGTCATGATTTGCACCCCCCCCTCTTGGACCCCCCCCTCTTGGCCGCTCCCGATGTATGTTCTTGTGCGTCCTGTGGAGGGCACCTCTGGCTGTTCTGTGCGTTCTGGCCGGCGGAAGCTCTCGTGTTCTCGAAGTATGTTCTTCTGTGTCGTGGGTCCGATTGTGTACTTCGGCCCAGTAACACAGCGGACTGACGGGTGGAGACTGACCCCCAACAAATTTCAGACGGAAAACAAAGGGGCCCTCTTGTACCATGTGGTGACCTTGGATGGGCTCGAAGGGCGCAGCGGGCATCATGGACACAGCATCGGCATTGGCCCGGGCAGCGTTGGACACGGCAGGCCTACCCACATCAGCGGCACCACTGAAGGCAGTACAGTCGGTGGTTGTACAAGAAAATGATGATCAGCAGGTAGCACGTTGAACAGCACCGGAGCATCCCCCAAAACACGGCTGACATCTTCGATCACAAAATTCATGCATCTGGTATTCGACTCAGGGCGAGGAAGCACAGGAGAGTAGACCATACAGCATTTAGTTACTCTGACACCCATACACACACTGCAGCAGTAGCATCACACCACTTCAAAAACTCGGAGTCTCTCCAGAGGTCTCCAGCACCTGCGACCTGCAGGCCGTTTTGTGCTCCATTAACGTGCCCCCCTCTGTCGTGCCCCCAAGGCAGCGGGGGCTCCGAAAGAGAAGGTGGGGTGCCGAGCGCCCCCGCGTACATCTCACCTGGAGCTGCGCCTCGCTGTCGGGATGCTGGACGGGGCGGGCCAGCCCCGCCGAGATCACGTCGCGCTTCCTCTGCCTGGTCACCTTCCGTGCAGATGGCCTGCAAGCTCGACTCGGGAACGGAGTCCGACGCCACCCAGGAGAGGAAAAAGCACACACAGACACAACTGATCCTCGATTCCTCAGAAAAGATGGGAAACTATGGGAAGTGGGGGGGGGAAGACAGAAACCGAGAAACAATATGGGAACATATGGGGAATGTTCTTCTTAGTGTGTATTTATGTGTGTGTCCTGGGGCCCCTCAGAAAATATGGGAAACCATGGGACGTGGGGGGGAAGCCAGACACCCAGAAAACATATGGGAACATGTGGGGACTTTGTTTTATCTGTGTGTACTTCTCTGTGTGCCCCGGGGCCCCTCCCACCACCCCCTCGCACCTCCGGCCGCCCGCCCCCTCCCTCGGCGCCGGGCGCCGAGGCCCGAGAGCGAGGCCGCGACGGGGCCGCGCTTCGGCCCCGGGCCAGACTTGCTGCGCCGGCGGCGCCGCGCCGCCTCCGCGGCCCCCGCGCCTCCGCTCGCCCTCGCCCCGCCCCCTCGGGGAGGCCGAGGCGCGCACGGGCGGCAGCCGTGCCCGCCGGCGGCCCCCTGGCCCGGCGGGCGGGGCGGGAGCTCCCTCGGCCCCCTCGGAGCCGCCGACGCCTCCGCTCGCCCTCGCCCCGCCCTCGAGGAGGCCGACGCGCGCACGGGCGGCAGCCGTGCCCGCCGGCGGCCCCCTGGCCCGGCGGGCGGGGCGGGAGCTCCCTCGGCCTCCTCGGAGCCGCCGACGCCTCGGAGCCTCCTGGCCGTCCCACGGCGCCGCGAGCGGGTGCACGGCCTGCTCGGCCTGTTCTGGGGGAACAAGACGTGGCATGAACATACAAACTCGGAGGTCCGGGCGGATTTCTCGGATCGGCGCCGGACCCCCCTCCCTGGCGCGCGGAGCGCGCCAGGGGCGGCGCCGGAGGCGCCGCTGGGGGGCCCCTGCGATCCGAGAAGTCAGCGCGGACCTCCGAGTCTTTCTGTTCATGCCACTTTTTGTTCCCCTATTCTCCTCGCGGAAGGTGGTGACAAGCGACTTCGCGGACACGAAGGCCTCGGAGTCCTGCCCGTGCAGCAGGTGGTCCCTCGTCGGCGCCCCCGGCTCGTCCCTGTCGGCCACACTCCCTGTCCGCACCCGTCTTGGCTGGGCGAGCGCCACCAGCACCACCTGTAGCTGCACGCTTCTTGGCGGACGCGATCGCCTGCATGACGTTCGCCACCCTTGCCAACCATCAGCTGATGCAGTCCCATAAGTCTGATGTACACATGTATGGAGCAACGATGGCAACACACGACGAGCGCCTGCAGCCACAGGCGTCACCAGGACCGAGGCTGAGAGCCCTCGCCCCGCCCCCCCCCCCGCAGGGGTCACAGCT